TTATTAAGTATGAAACAAATATAGCACAACAATAATAATGGTGATGAAAGAGGAACAAAGAACATCAGGGACTGCACAAATTCTGGAGAGTATTCTTCAAAGTGGTGGCTGGGAGTAATATGTTTTTAAATAAGAGCTTCAATATTGACTATTTCAATATAATGGTCATTTCTTTACTTACACATTTTTAAATGTACTATTATTCATTTTACTAGTTAAAAAATTAAAAGTGGTACAGACACAAAGGGGTATATGATGAACAGTAACCCTCTCTCCCCTTCAGGGTGCTCAGGCGCTGTGGCCAGTTTCCTGTGCATCCTTCCTCAGAAGGGTTTGTCATTTTAAGACCGTTTTTTAAAACTCTGACTTAAGGTCCTTGGGGAACAGCATGATGGGGCAAAGTGACTTCCATTTTCTAGCTGATGCATCTGATCTTTTAAAAACTAATGAGCGCATATGACTTTTCTACAAAAAAGAATATTTTTTTTAAAGAAAGAAAATCTATCACAAAGAATCTAGCAGAGTTGAGAATGACACACATGCCCACAAGAAGCCTCTAGCTCTTAATGCGGCGCTGGGGAAGGCGGCCTCGCCCGCAAAGAGGCCAGGCGCTGGAGTCGCCCTCCACCCTCCGGAGCTCCGGGAAAGCAGAGGCAGCTTCTGGCCTGGACCTCTGGCCTCTCTCTGCTCCTGGACCCCCTCATTTAATGACCAGGAGAGAGTGGGGAACCAACAGCATCTTCCCTGAGATCCTGGTACTATTGTCCAGAGGCTCCCAGGGTCCCACCAGCTGACCACCGAAGAGCAAAGAACAGCCACAGGTCCCCCCCAGTTCCCTCACCAGTCCTATTTCTTTACGGCCAATACTCTGGCCTGGCCCCACCTGGACTCCCTTCTGGGGCTCGGAGAACAAGAACCAGCTGTTCATTCACTTTTCTGGGGAGCAGAGACTGACTCAGGACACACAACAAACAGCACAACTCCCAAAGAAACGAGTCCCCGACCCTAAGACCCACATCGCCAGGGCTCCGGGTCAGTGTCTGCGCCTGCCTCTTGGTTGATAAGTTACATCATCTCCCAGCTTGCACTTCTTTACCTTCCCTGTTATCCCAGAAGTTTTGTCCTGACCCATTTCTGAATTTGTATTATAAATTGAAAATATCTGGAGGTTTTGGTTTGTTTTCCTAATATAAATTCGTGTCACACTATTGAACATGCTCCCAGGAGACTCTGACGCCCTCCCCTTCCCCTGGCGGAGCAGAAGCCCTAGTCTAGAAGGACCTCCGTGTCATCTGGACGAATATCAATTTCCATTGTACCACAGATGTCCTGACATGCCAATTAATAGAGTTCCAGCAAATAGATATTGGCCAGGGAGGTCCCATGGCATGGTGACTGGGGGCGCCGCTCTGGGGTCACATCAGCCTGGATTCAAATCCCAGCTCAACAATCTCCCGAGATCTCCCTGAACCTTAGTTTCATCGTCATTAAAATGGGAATCGTGATAGTGCCAGGCAGAGGGGATTTGATTTTTTTAAAAGCTGCTATGACCTTAGCACAGTGCTGATGCCCGGCAAATGCTCCACGTTCGGTAACGTTGTTAATGATGCTAATTGTTAATAATCAAAGGGCTTGCCCCACACCCACCGGTGAGCAAGATCAAAAGGCAAACAGTGCTTGTCCTCACAGAGCCAAGGAAAGGAGAGATGGGGCTGCGGGGCTCTAGGGGAAAAGAAAACTAATTGCCTGAAACGAGAAAAAAATTAGCAGAAAGAAGAAGCCCGCACCTCAGGGCACAGCCGTTTTGCCAAAAATTAGGGAGGAGAAAGCCTGGGAATTTTCTTCCCAGTTCCCAAATCCAAGATTTTCCTGACTTCTTCCTAAATCTTTTTCTCGTGTTGAGTTTTGGGGTCAAAGTTCTTGGTTTTGTCTTCCTGGGAGAAACAGGTCCACATGTTCACTTTTGACCCAGCCCCCATCTCCTGGAGAAAGACTTATTTGTTCAATATTTAGTGTCCATTTGCTCTGTGCAGGGCACTTTCTAGAAATTCTAGAAATTTCATTTTTGGCATCTGAAGTTATAGTAAATTCTCCCGTGGCTGAAGTGAGCAAGGGCAGGTTCCAGGGGATAAGATGCCAGTGGATGCAGCCAGATGCAAAACCTGCCTGGGGGTTCTTTGCGGACTGGCTGGCCTGGAAGCCCATCACCCTCGTCTCCATCAGGAGGGCTCTTATTTTGTATTTGTGGACAATTTTAGAGCAGCAGTATATTCTGCTTCTGGAATGATGATGTTCCTTCCCATTTTGGGGGGGTAAATAACAGGTTACTGTCAAGAAATATAAACAGAAGTTCTGAGTGACGGAAAGATTAGGAAAACCGTCACGGCACCGGCCTGTCCTTGCTAGCTTGCACACAGGCACAGAACAAGCAGCCCAAGTATTCCAGAGGCGTCCAGGGAGTGGCCCGGGGCAGCAGCAGTCTCTCCTGGTGGAGCCCAGTGGTCACACGCACTCAGATTCCACAGTTGGCCCTGTAAGTGGCATCTGACATTGCGACATAATGGTTTAAAATGTACTCAACCTCACTTATTAAAAGTAAAACGGGTGATATTTCATGTTTCCTTATCCCTCACTCCAGCAGTCAGCTTGCTAACTCTGTAAAAGCATTGATAGCCCAATCGGTGATATCTTGCCATCTAGATGAGTTAGGGTGTGATATATTTTCCTGATCCTCTTTTATCAACTAAAATTCCCAATCACACGTGGATGACTTTTTTCAGTCGTACAGATTGCTCAGGGAGATATGCTGCACGCACCTTGCTCTCTGACTCTGAATTTCTATATAAAAGTCTATTAACGTTTCCTGACTCTGTTCAGCTTTCAGCCAGCATGACCTGGACAGCGAGATGGGACTCAGGCTCCCGCATCTGATGCAGTCGGGAGGCCTTTGCCAAAATCACATCACATTCCTACCCTGACTCCTGTGTGTAATGCACGTGTGTGTGTGTGTGCATGGATCTGCAAGGGAGGGATGGAATGAGCATGTGGCCCCCATCCCGTCTGTTTCAGGCTGGCCGGGAAGCAGGGTACAAATGTGAGCATGTGTGTGAGGCTGAGCAGGTGAGGGTGGGGGTGAGGATCTGGGGAGGTGCTCTCTGCCAGACACGGGGTTCAGCCACATGTGAGGCCAATTCTAGGATGTCTGGTGGGAGGCCCTTGCTCCCACAAGGTGGTAGTCCCGCCAACAGTCACAAGAAACACTTCTGTCCGCAGCCTGGGCCACCATCAGTCCTGCCCTCACACTGCCCACCACACGGAACCCCAGCCGAAGACTGGTCACCTTTCTTTATCCTTCCTGGTTTTCCCAGGGTCCACCCCACTAAAGTCACAGGAAGTCATTCTTGGCCTGAGGTCAGGGTCGGAGAGCTCCTTCAGAACATCCCCAAAACTCAACCAAGCCAAGCCCCACCCCAAGGGGCCCTGTGCTTCTTCGCACGGAGGAGTGGAAGCATGAGGCCCAGAGGAGTGGGGGGGCAGGGAGCAGCCCCATCGCCCCTGCACAGCACTCAACGCCAGCTTGTCACAGGGAGGTCCACCTGCTTGCCCCCGCCCAGGCCAGATGCTGAGCAAACTTCCTGCCAAGGGACAATGTCCACGGAGGGGCCAGCAGTGTGGCTGCCATGGCTACAACCACCCAGCTACCAGCACTGGGCTAGCTTGATGCCATCATTCCTTCCCAATCACCGTGAGCCTGTCTGTCCCTGCCCAAGCGTTTCGCCGCCTTTTCCCGTCCTCCTGACCCTCCCCAGGCCCTGGGCCTGGCTACCCCCCACCCCCCCACCCCACCATGGGATGTTATATTTATCTGTCTGCTATCTCTCCCTTTCTCTCTCCTCTGTGAAGCTTCACCGGGCACAGGGCACAGGCATTCCCCACCCTCAACCCCCAGTGCCCATTAAAGCTCCTGAGTCTCCTGGCCACCGAGTGAGACCCAATAAACTATAAACTGGAGATGATCAAAGAATCCTCCCTTGTGGATTCAATACAATAATGCACATACAGCTTCTAGGAGAAGCCTGACGCCACAAACGATCAGCTGAGACTACAGTCGTGGTCCACATGTCCATGTTGGTGGCCCACGTGTGCAGAACGCTGGACAATGCACGGCTAAGACGCTGTGAACATCACGCCTCTCTCCCACCCGGTGCTTTCTCTGGACTGCCTTCCGGCGTCTTGCTCTGTCTCTCTATGGCTTCTCAATCCCCGGACACCCTCAGCAGATATCCAGGGACCTCACTGTTGAGGTGCTCATGACATTCACAATGGCTTGAAGTTGACAGTTCCATCCTTTCTGATCTATAGCGGAAAGTTTGCCGTGGAGGTCCTGCTCCCAGAGACCATGACGCTTGGGCCTCAGTACCCAGCCTGCGCAGGGCCAGCCGGCCAGCATCAATGCCCCTGTCTCCACCTCGGTCCTTGGACACGGCTACCCTGCACCTCCTCCCCCAGCTGCACCCACTGCTCCCTACACAGCAGTACACACACTCACCTCAATGGCCTTGTAGAAGATGCTGGTGCCAATCTGGACCACCTCCAGGTTCTGCTCCTGCTCATTACGTGCACACTTGATGTAGGTCATCCAGCTTCGGTGGTCCTCCTGGCTGGCATCGATGAAGTAGCGCACGGTGCCATCCTCATTGAATACCTGGGCGCAGGTGAATCGGGGACCAGGTGAGGTAGGGCTGTGTCACGTGTGCTGCCCATGGCCAGGGCTAGGCTCCATGCCAGGCACATCCACACACACCCTCTCTCCATCCTCACAACAGCCTCAGGAAGTGGACACAGCTATTATTGTCTTGATCTTCCAGCTGAGGAGAGGGAGGCTCAGAGCAGTACGGTGACTTGCCCGAGGCCAGTCAGCTAGAAGTGGCCAATAAGGGGTCACTGACCAGACAAAGTGGCATCCACTCCAGCTGTCTCTCCAGGGATGCAGTGGAGAGAACTGGCCAGGACGTCAGAGGGGGACACAGAGGAGCCTAGAGAGGGAAGGCTGGCCCACTCTGGCACCCTGGCCGGGCCTAGGCCCCTTTGTGGGAGCTACCAAAGTACTCAGAGATCAAACTGGACCCCAACTTCCTAAGCCAGCAGCACGTGGAGAAGGCAACCACTGGCCCAGGCCTCCAGAGGTGGGAGGAGGTGAGGTTAGGAGAGGCCAGGTGCAGGATTTGTCCTATTCAGCTCCTTAAGGGCCTGCCAGGTGGAGGCTGTGACAGGGAGCCGTGGGGGAGGGAGGGGAGATGACATCAGGGAGAGGGTGCACCAGCCTGGCCTCTGCAAGGCAAGAGCCCCAAGAGGAGGAAGTGCTCTGGGAGTGGCTTTGTCCTAAAGATGGGCCTCCCTGGCATCTGGCACTGTTTTGGGGGAGGAGGGTCAGAAGGTCTTGGATGGAAGGTCAGTTTCCTTCTGTAAAATGGGAGTAATAACTCAGAGGGCTGCTGAGATACCCGATACCCTGGTGGAATGCAGGCCCCGCACGGCACTCAGAAGCCTGACTCAGTGCTACTGCATCAGTGATCGTTTCTAATGTCATTATCCTGCCTGGGTTGAGAAACTGGCTCCCAAGAAGCACAGGCTCCCTTCATCCCCCACTCCATCCACCCTTACTTCAAGGCCAGGGCTGGCTTTAAGGGCTTTCCCTGCTGCTTCAGGGGTGAGGGAAAGAATGCAGGTAGCTGGGAGATTGCTCCCAGGGGTGGCTTCCCAGCTCTGTATGGGATCCTGGGCAAAGCACAGGGTCTCTCTGGGTCTCAGTGCCCTCCTCTGTGAAGTAGGGCCAATAGCAGACATGCTCCGCAGGGTTGGCCAGAGGAGAGCTCCTTGGCCATGAGACTTGGGGAGGAACCACCAGGCATCAGGCAGCGTACGTAGGATCCTGCTGCGGGGCTCATCACGGGCTGGAGCGCACGCAGCTCCCAGCAAGCAGCGGCAGGCCAGACGCCAGGGCCCTACCCGTGGTCCGCAGCCCACCCTCCTCTCCCATAGCCCGCGGTACCTCCCACATGAGATTGTTGTTCTTGCAGATGTCCACATGCTCTGGGGCGATGACCCGGCCGGTGAAGGGGCCCATCTCAGTGCCCGCCTTGATCCACGTCTTGGAGAAGATGCCGAGGCCCTCGCCGGGGATGGAACTCTGTGCGATGATCACCTCAGCGGGCAGCACCAGGCTGGACAGCTTCTGCACCTCTGTGGTCGCAGGGCAGGGGGACTGGGTCAGAGCCTGAGGCTGGGGAGGCCAGGCTCTTCCCCCGGGGGTGGGGGCGGCTGAGCGACTGCAGTCTCCTCTGTTTGCAACACGTGACCCTCCGAAAGCCCGAGGTGCTTTGGGACTCGTTTCTAGGAGGGTGGTTGGGTGTTTTTGGGTTTTTTTTTTTTTTTTTGGTTTCTCCAGGAATTCTCAAAGCATCCAAAACCTCCCCCGCCCTCCATCCCGGAAAAGTTTAAGAACTACTGAGCCGACCACA